GGACTTCACTCTAATTGTAATAAAAAGCCACTGGAAAGCTTTAAGCAAGGAGAGTGACATTGTCTGACTTATTTGCATTTTCAAAAGACCTCCCTGGTCTCTGGGCCAAGAACAGGTTGTATGGGGACAAGAATCGAAGTGGAGAGAGGACAATCTGAGAGGCTCCTGCAGAAGCCAGAGGAGAGATGGGGGGTATAAGTGGTGAGCAGAGGACAGTGAGAAGTAGTTGGCTTAAGAACATATTCTGGAGAGGGCGCCTGGGTGGCTCAGTCGTTAAGCGTCTGCCTTCGGCTCAGGTCATGATCCCAGGGTTCCGGGATCGAGCCCCGCATCGGGCTCCCTGCTTGGCGGGGAGCCTGCTTCTCCCTCTGCCTCTGCCTCTCTCTCTCTGACCCTCATGAATAAATAAATAAAACATTAAAAAAAAAAAAAAACATATTCTGGAGATAGTTAAAATGGGAATCACCAACACACTGAATGTGGGGGATAAGGAAAAGAAATAATTAAAGGATGCCCCTGGTTGGGCAGGGGGCAGGGGTGTTAGAGAGTGGAGAACAGAGATATGAGGCTTAGTCTTCACATGAGGAAGTCTATGATTTTTCTGGGAAGACAAGACCAACATACAAAAAATAATTAGATGTAAGAATCAAAAGATCATATGATGCAATGGGAAAGACAGGAAGAAGTGGGCTCAGCTTGGCATAGGTCAAGAATTCTAGCTCCAAATGGCTACTGGGCTTCCCAGTGAGACAAAAGCCAGAAGTTCCTTGAGGTTCCGGCTATATCTCACATACCCTTTGCATTCTAAGTGTTCCTTAGCATAATAACTAAACTCAATGCCTATTAAATAAAGCTTGTTAAACTGAATAAAATTCAGCTGACTTGACTTGACATGCTCTGTAGGACTTTGATGGACCACAAAAGGTTGGCATGAAACAGGATATTTTAAGTTAGTGAACAGAAGAAGTACAACAGTGAAGAGGCTGGCCCGCTCAGAGGGGGGAACACCAAGACACGGGGATATACCTGCTTAGCTAGGAGAGCCATGCTGCAAGCTCACACCCAATCTGTCAACTAGTCCTGTCAGCTCCATCTTCAGATTCCTTCCAGAATTTGACCGCTTCTCATTACCTCCACCATAGCTCCTTTGGTCCAAGTCACCATTATCTCTCTCACCTGGAGTATTGTGCAACAGCCTCAGCCTCACAACACATCTCCTGCTCCCACCTGTGCCCCGTTATGGATTATCGTCAACACAAGAGCCAGACCAAGCTTTGCTCGCAGTGGAAGATAAGCCATCCCCTGACCTACAAGGCCCCCCTTCCCCCATTTCCTTCTATGACCTCATCTTCTACTGCTTTCCCCTCCCTCACTCCATTGCAGCCACACTGGACTCCTTACTATCCTTCCAACACACCAGACATGTCCCACATCAGGGCCTTTGTGTTCGCTCTTTGCTCTACCTCTTCCCTTAGATATCTTGCATGGCCCACTCCCTCAACTATTCCAGGTCTTTACTAAATGTCACCTTCCCAGGGATGTTTTCCTTGGTCATCCGACTTTATAATGCAACCCCCTTCCCCATCTCTGCTCTCTGTCCACTCCCCTGCTCTACTTCTTTCTCACAGAAATTACCACCATCAGGGCACCTGGGTGGCTCAGTCGTTAAGCGTCTGCCTTCGGCTCAGGTCAGGATCCCAGGGTCCTGGGATCGAGCCCCCCATCGGGCTCCCTGCTCAGCGGGAAGCCTGCTTCTCCCTCTCCTACTCCCCCTGCTTGTGTTCCCTCTCTCACTGTGTCTCTCTCTGTCAAATAAATAAAATCTTAAAAAAAAAAAAAAGAAATTATCACCATCTGACATGCTGAATATTTTACTGATAAAAACTCCACGAGGAGGCACCTAGGTGGCTCAGTTAAGTGTCAGACTCTTGATTAGGCCCCGGTGGTGATCTTTGGTGGTCACAGGATCAAGCCCCCTGTCCTGCTCCACGTTCAGGGCAGAATCTGCTTGTTCCTCTCCCTCTACTCCGCCCCCACCCATTCTCTTTCTCTCTCTCTCAAATAAATAAATAAGTCTTTAAAAAAAAAAAAACTTCACAAGGGCAGGGACTTTTTTCTTTGTTGTTCGCTGCTATATAATATCCTCAGTGCTTAGAATAGACATGCTAGATGCTCAGTAAATATTGGTTTAATTAAATGACCCATTAATTCTTGGGTTTCTGGACTACCTATAGCAAAGAAGAAAAAAAAAAAAAGGCTAGAACCGAATCTGAGTCTGATGATTCTAATTTACAAGAGGGCATGTGTCCAGGGTCTTACGGACTGACACGCACACCCACATTTTCTGCCTTTTCCAAAGTTGAGGAACACACAGCTACTTCATGCCATTTCTGTAGATTATAAGCTGAATTGTGTGTCCCCTCCCACCCCCACCAAATTCATATGTTGAAATTCTAACCTCCCAGTACCTTACAATGTGACTATATTTGGAGATTTGGTCTTTAAACAAGAGATTAAGTTAAAAAGAACCTGTTAGGGTGAGGTCCTACTGCAAAATGATTGGTGTCCCTACAAGACAAGGAGATTTAGACACACAGGGAGTGCCAGGCATGAGTGCACACAGAGAAAAGACCATATAAAGACATGGCAAGAAGGTGGCCATCTGCGAGCAAGAAGGAAACGAATCTGCTGACCCTTGATCTTGGACTTCCAGCTCCCAGAACTGTGAGAAATAAATTTCTGTCAAGTCACCCCGTCTTTGGTGTTTTGTTATGGCAGTCCTAGCAAACCGATATACTGTGGATACCCCATAGGTTCACCAAATGCAATTCATCCTCACAGAAAAAACTAAATCAGGTGTTGTTGTTGTACCACCAGCTTCACAGGAATACCTACAGGAATCAGTGCTTCCGACCCACGCACTTTGAGCTCAGCCAGGATAGATTCTCTAAGGCAGGGAAGATAAGGACATGGCAGTGGCCAGGGGCCCAAGCAGGGTTGTGCTGGAGCTGTGTACTCTGCTTGCTCCCCTCAGTCCCTACAGCAGTGGGGCAGCAGGAAAGGACCACAGGATTTCTCAGCATTAGACAGAAAGGCGTAAGATCCTCCCTCAAAAATAAAGGCCATGTGAAACATGGCGCAGAGAAGGTGACATATTGCGGCACCTGGCTGGCTCAGTCAGTAGAGCATGTGACTCTCTCTTTTTTTAAAAAAAGCTTTATTTATTTGAGAGAAAGAGAGAAGGTGTGTGTGGGAAAGGCAGGGGAGAGAATCTTCAAGCAGACTCCCTGCTGAGCACAGAACCCAGATGTGGGGCTCGACCCCACCACCCATGAGATCATGACCTGAGCTGAAATCCAGAGTCAGACACTCAACCGACTGAGCCACCCAGGTGCCCCGCATGTGACTCTTGATCTTGAGATTGTAAATTCAAGCCCCATGTTGGATGTAAAGATTACTTAAAAATAAAATCTTTTTTTTTTTAAATAGAAGGTGACGTAATCAATGTGTGGTACATATAAGCCAAAAGAAAGGAGACACTTGGCGGCAGAGTGGGCTAGGGAATCTTCCTGGAGGGGGAGAGGTATACTGACCTTATAGGATGGAAAAATTTCAGAGATAAGTTGCAAGGGAATTCAGTTACAATCCACATATAGGAAAAAAGCCACGAGTATAAGATTGGTCACATGGCTAAATCTTGTTCTCATACCTGGCAATTACGTTAATTCCCTGGAAGTAACTTTATATTAGCATTTGCCAGAGTGTGTTTTTCAAAAAGTCAACACACACTCAAAAAATAAAATAAAATAAAATTGAAAATCTGGGGATTAAATAGGTTTCTTTCTTACAGAACTTCTGAGAACTCAAAGTACATTTGTAAATCTCCCCCAAGGATTAGACCATCAGTCCTTTTTCCCAATAGAATTTTAAGGAGCTAGCATTTTCGGAAGCATCAAACCCTTCCTGATACCACTAGTGGGTAGAAAAGACCAGTCAACCCATGATGAGCAAACCAGTGGCAAATACCAAACCAAAACTGCAGTCTAGCCCTGATGCTGTGCTTTCAGACTGCAGACGTCTGTAGAGAAATAGGGAGGAAAAACAAAAAACAGTGATATAGCTGGTTAATAGCATAAGGGTATGGCTGATTTTTTAAGTCATCAATAGTGTTGTTTCTGTGTGGCTACATGCTATAAACTTAACCTAGAACAATCCTTATAAAATAGCTTTAAAATCACTTTCAGGGGCACCTGGGTGGCTCAGTCAGTTTAAGCGTCTGACTCTTGAGGGTCATGAGATCAAGGCCTGCCTCAGCTCCACACTGGACGTGGAGCCTACTTGAGATTCTCTCTCACTCTCTCCCCCTGCCCCTCCCCCCCACTCCCACTCTTTCTTTAAATACATAGATAAAGCTTATAAAATCACTTTCATTTTACAGACAAAAAAGCTGGGACAGAGAGGCTAGTACTTTTTGCTCGAGGTCACACAGCTAGTAACTGACAGAACCAGGCTAACATCCAATTAGGGAGGTGATTCCCAGACTCCCCAAAACTCACTGCCTCAAACACTTATAAAGCACCTGTTATATGCCCACTGCTGTGCTGAAGGAAAAAAAAAAATCACATACCAGAGCAATAATCAATTCCAAAAGGCAGCTAGGACTATTCTACCTTCTCAAGAAGAACCAGTAAGTCTTGGGGCTAAGGCAAAAGCTCAGAAGCAAAGAGATCTGCCAAAACTGGAAAGAATCTGAAACTGGGCTCAGGGAGGACAGAGTTGACCACAGGGAACAACAAAAGCCCTTGGAGGTCAAGTACAACACAGGTGTGTTGTACTTGTGACTTGTGACGTCTGTGAAGGATCCAGAAAATCCACACAGGACAGCAACCAGCCATTACTAGCCGCAGTGGGAACACACTGTCATTTCCTGTGTCCCGTCCACAGCAGCGCGAAGTTCTTATGAAAACTTACCCTGAACCACTTGTTGCTGTTTTACTTACCACAATAGGTATACCAAACACTGGAATCAGAGGAATTGCAGATCCAATGTTGCTCCCCAGGTTCAGTGAATATGGAAGAAAACAGAGTGGAAAAAAGCATAAATGGGAACATGATTCAGTATCACCAAAACTTTAAAAACACAAGGAGATTCGGCAACTAATCATCAGACTCTTCCCTTTCAGTAAGCAGAAAAGATTTAACTTAGTCATTGGTCACATGATTTCTGAGTTCCTGAATTTCCTCTTTTGAGTGTATGTGTTTAGTATTCAAGCACTTCCGGCAAGGGGAGACAGCAAAATGATTTAGAATATACTCTTCTAGAACACGTAATGCAAATAAGAACACAGAACTTTAAAAACAAAACAAGGTACTTCCTGGTCAATAGTAACAAAACCAGTCTGTAGGTCGCCTTTAGAATCCCAACAGACTGCCACTCCTTTTCCATCTGCATTGCTATTCTTTTTTTTTTTTACAATTTTTTTTAAAGAATTTTTTTTAAACATTTTTTTATTTATTTGACAGAGCAAGCGAGCGAGAGAGGGAACACAAGCAGGGGGAGTGGGAGAGGGAGAAGCAGGCTTCCCGCTGAGCAGGGAGCCCAACATGGGGCTCGATCCCAGGACCCTGGGACCATGACCTGAGCTGAAGGCCGACACCCAACGACTGAGCCACCCAGGTGCCCCTATACAACAATTTTTTATTGTTGTATAAACAATTTCTCATGGCCCAGGGAGCTGGACCTATAGGTCTGAACTGAATAGTCTGATGCAAATTATTTCTGCTCTGCAACAGGTGCAGCCACAAGGCAGAGCCAGACTAGATGAGACTGCAGACATGGGATATTAGCTATACTTTTGCATTGTTGGCAGGGACCACACCAAGCTTGAGAATGCACTTACTTAAGCAAAGTACAGCTCCAGGGAATATTTTGAGCCCTGATAATGAAATGGTCATTATTTTGCATGTGGCATGTATTTCAAACTTCTCACTCTGTTCTAGAAAAATAGCTCATCTTTTAGATACTTTGCTACTTAAAATCCTTTGTAGGACATAGTTTGGGATTAGGAGCCAGAAATAAAAATAGCATGGAGTCAGGGCCTAAAAATCTACAAGTTTAGAGGGAAATAATCATATGTTGGTAAAAGATTCCACTAAAGAACTATGCTACTTTCCCATTTTTAGAAAGGCAAAAATCTGTGGGAGGATGTGGAAATGGAAGTTGTTAATGGGTACTGAGTTTCAGGATTGGAAGATGAGAAGTTCTAGAGATCTGTTGCACAGCAATGTAAATATAGCCAACACTACTGAACTTGTGCTTAAAATTGGTTAAGATGGTAAATTTTATATTATATATTTTTTACCACATTTAAAAAATGAAAAAAACAAAAAGAAGAAGAAAAACCTATGAATGCCCCTAGTGGTCTCAAAAATACCATTTCCCACTAAAAGGAACAAAGACTCTGGAGAAATTGCTGATTCCAGGTCTGGGGCAGAAAATGTCTAAGATGGAGCCTGGAACAACTTAGCATATTAGATAACCAATATGAAGACAGTTCCCAGTGACCAAAGGTGGGTTTCTTATTGCTGCTGTCATGACTAACCACTAACTTAGTGGCTTAAAACAATACAAATGTGTTCTCTTATAGTTCTGGGGGTCAGAAGTCTGAAATCAGTTTCGCTGGGCCAAAGTCAAGGTGTCAGCAGAGCTGGTTCCTTCTGGAGACTCTGGGGGAAGAACCTGTTTCCTTACTTTTTCATCTTAGAGAGCTGCAACCCATGTATTCCTACACCTTCAAAGTTCAGCACTCCCATCTCTGCTTCCATCATCACATCACCTCTTCTGACCTCCTGCCTCCTTCTTATAAGAACCCTGTGATTACACTAGAACCATTTGGATAATCCAGGATAATCTCCCCAAGATCTATCTATAAAATCCCTTTTGCCATATAATTTAACATTCACAGTTTCCAGACATGAATTTCTTGAGGGACCATTATTCAACCTACTTGTAGACTATACAAACATTAAGATAGTGACTACAATGAACTGAAATACACCAAATATCTTTAAAACTATGAGCTCATCATTTTTTTAAAGATTTTATTTATTTGTGGGCGCCTGGGTGGCTCAGTCGTTAAGCGTCTGCCTTCGGCTCAGGTCATGATCCCAGGGTCCTGGGATTAAGCCCCGCATCGGGCTCCCCGCTCGGCGGGAGGCCTGCTTCTCCCTCTGCCACTCCCCCTGCTTGTGTTCCCTCTCTCGCTGTGTCTTTCTCTTCAAATAAATAAATAAAATCTTAAAAAAAGATTTTATTTATTTGAGAGAGAGGGAGAGAGCAAGCACAAGTGGGGGGGGAAGGGGGGACAGAGGAAGAGAAGAGAGAGAATCTCCAGCAGACTCTGCACTGAGTGCAGAGCCCAACGCGGGGCTCAATCTCACAACGCTGAAATCAGAACTTGAGCTGAAAACCAAGTCAGATACTCAACCAACTGAGCCACCCAGGCGCCCTGAGCTCATAATATTTTAAAAGTCTAATTAAGATGATGCTAGGAAGTCAACTCTTTTGAAAACTAATAAAGGGAAAGAATCAAGCATTTATCCTGACTTTTCTATAGAAACTGAACTACTGGTAACCAGATAGTAGATGGGACAATTTTCCCTTGCCTCCTTATACTCTTTTATCTATTTTTAGAAGTATTCAGCTAATATATGAAAAAAGGAAAAATAGAACATAACCATTTTGCAACACCTAATGAATTACTGAGCTTAAGCACCAAGCCATCAGTGGTTGCTAACTTCACAGAGAGAAAGACTTTGTGAACTTCTTGATGGATGAACCCTGTGGTAGCCAGCCTCCAAGATGGCTCCCAATGATCCTTACTTCCTAGTATTCAAATCCTTGTGTAATCTCCTCCACCAATGAATAAGGCTGATTCTGTAACTAATAAAATATTGCATAATGACAGTGTGCAACTTCCAAGGTAGATAAAATACATCCTTGTGGCTTCCACTCTGCTCTTCTGGATCAGTTGCTCTAGGGGAAGCAAGCAGCCCTAAAGAGAGAACCATGTAGTGAGAAACTGAGGCCTCTCATCAAAAAGCCAGCACCAGTTTGTCAGTCATGTGAGTGAGCCACCTTGGAAACAGTCCCTCCTGGCCCAGTTCAACCTTCAGATGACAGCAGCACCAGGTGATAGCTTGACTGCAATCTCATGAGAGAACCTGAGCCAGAAGCATTCCTTAAGCCATTCCTGGATACTGGACCAACAGGCACCATGCAGTATTAAACTGGTTTTAAACCTCTAATTTTTGAGACACCTGGGTGGCTCAGACAGTTAAGCATCCGACTCTAGATTTCAACTCAGGTGATGATCTCAGGGTCTAGGATCCAGCCCCTTGTCAGGCTCCCCGCTCAGTGGGAAGTCTGCTTCTCTGCCTCTCCCTCTGCCCCTCCCTCTGCTCGCTCACATACACGCTCTCTCTCAAATAATAAGTCTTAAAAAAAAAAAAAAAAAAAACCCTCTAACTTTTGGGGGCAATTTGTTAATGCAACAATAGTTAATATAAGCAACATCATCTATGAATTAGTCTTATCCAAAGTAATCAAATATCAATCTGATGAAGCCTCAAGTCCTACTACCAATTTATAGGAGATACAGAAGACAGAGAAACATGTTAATCTACACCTCAGGGATACAATCAGAAAGTCTAGACCATGAAAAGATGTAAAGGACAAAGAACTCCATTTCTTCAACAGATAATTTACAAGGGAGAAAAAAACGAAGTGAAAGAAATGGAGGGGCCCATAGAAGAGTCTTAAAAGAAATTTCATAAATTGGTGTGAATAAGGCATGAACTTTACTTAGATCTTAATCCAAACAACATGTGGGGAGGAATTGGAATTTGAACAGACTGGATCCTTAATAACTTTGGGGAGAGGGGAGTGGTTTGGGTATTATAATGTTATTATAGCTTTTTTTTTTTTTTGAAGTCATTATCTGGTAGAGTTACAAAACATTTAAGAAAGAGATGTTATGATGTCTGGGATTTGCTTCCAAATAAAAGTAGAGGGCAAGTGGTTGAGGTCTAAATCAAACAATATTGACAACAAATTGGTAATTGTTGAATCCGAATGACAGTCATGTTGATTCATCGTACTCTTCTACTTTTGAATGATTGAAATTCTCTACAAAAAGGAAGCCAACAACAAAAGTACCTGAAAAAATCAGAATACAATTTTTTAAAATTGTGTGCAAGCTAAGGCTATCATTTAGACCTAATGTCCACTTTGTTACTTTTGCTTCTAAAAGCTGAAATCTTTCAGGATAATGAAATTGAGGTTTAGAAAGGGATTACAAAACATTTTATTATCAATGGGTATATTATCTGATATAACCAGGATGTTAGCCAGGATCACCCTGCCTTTTCGACTCAAAATTGACTCAACGCCCTTCCTATAGATAGTGGGAGACTCCTCACCTCCCTAACCTTTCCAAGATTTTACTCCACCTGTGGTGAAGGTAGTAAAGTGGCATAGAGAGATGTGTGTAAATTTTTCCTCCTCACCTTGGCCTGAATTTTCTGCTGACTTATTTCAGTGATGAATCATATTCTACACATACTGTTCCTTTTCTACTTCTTGGTGTTGCTCCAGACCATGCACTTGAAGTCATCTTTCTCACTTAGTATTTTAAGCTTTTTTTCTTTTCCCTAAACAACCAAGTTGTCTTCTGAATTATTCTGATACTAATAAAAACAGGTTTTTCATTCCACTACACAGGTGACATAATGGTTATATGGATACAGGACATTTAAAGAAAGAGATATGATACAGTCAGAACAAGTTATGAAGAAACTGATCCTTGGAAGAAAATGTTAAAATATTAACAAAGCTGTTTTTCTTCTAGGAATGGAACTAAGAGTGATTTTTTTTTCTTGCTTCTACTAATATCTGATCAACATTTGACCATGGAAGAATTTTTTTATAGAAAGATAGCAACAGGTATATATCTAGATGACGTAGGACAGAGGAACAGGCAGGCAGAGGCCCAAACTGAAGATGAGGATGACACCAGCTTGTTCATCTTTCTGAGACGTAGAGCCCACCTTTTGCTACGATCACAAGTTGGCTGATCCTAGCAGAGGGCAGGCTCTAGGTCTCAGAAAGGGGAGCACTTTTCTACCTCATGGACTCTCCTATAAGCCTCCAGCAGCTTCAGACCTGATCTTTGTCTATGAACTCATGATGTTTCTGGTGCTTTTCCATCAACCTTCCTCATACACAGGTAAGCCATAAAGGTAAGATTTACCATCATGGCAGACAATAGGAGACATCAGACAGCTCCATAGAGACTAGGTGCTTTGTTCTTTTTTTTTTAAGATTTTATTTATTTGAGATAGAGTGAGAATGAGAAAGAGAGCACGAGCAGGGGGTAGGACAGAGGGAGGGGTAGAAGCAGGCTCCCCTCTGAGCAGGGAGCCTGATGCGGGGCTGGATCCCAGGACCCTGGGATCATGACCTGAGCGGAAGGCAGACGCTTAATGACTGAGCCACCCAGGCACCCCTGGGTATTCTGTTCTTAACTATGACTCTGACTACTAGCACAGTATCAGGCACACACTGGGCACTTAAAAAGTTATCTACTGATCTAAATAGCATGACTTGAGGCCTTCTGCTCCTTGCTGAATATCCTTCACAAGAACCAATTTTCATTTTACAATTAGAGGTTAAAAATCTTAAAATTCCAATACTTCATAAAATTAACAAAGAGATTGCGATTTTATAAAAACTCCTGTCCATCTATTTAGTAACTATGATTTTCCAACTCTGATAGGATACACAAGGGAGAAGACTGCCACCAAAGACATCACTATTTAGGTCACCATTTCTCCTGTAGCTACCACACTCAACTGGACATGGAGATCCTTATTATGCGCAACTATGCCTGAAAAGATAAGCAAAAACCTGTGAACCAAAGGAAGATTAACACTGCTTCCCATTATTTTAGAATTTTTAAAAATAGTTTTTAATGTGGGCAAAGTTAATATCTATACACCTAGAAAAATCCAAACGTAAAGGAAAAACAACTCTCCCATCTGCTTCTGACACCTGATACCCAGCCTAGAGACAACCACATTATTATATAAAATTATCCATGCTTATGCCAGCATGAACATGTATTTTCACACTTTTTTTAAAAACACAAATGGTAGAATATTACATGATTTGCTTTCCAAACATAGCATATTTATTATATAGGAACATAATTCTCTGAAAATTAAAAGTTGATACAGTTTCAAATTATTTTTAATCAGTCACTAACAGAAAACAAAAATAAAGGCAATTTCATTATTATACATTGGAACATAAGTCACATTTAAGCACAAACCTAAAAAACAATAGACTCATTTCTCATCTTTAACCTGTTTCTTCTCACTGTCTTCTCCCATATCAAAAGTGAATGGTTTGTCATAACCCATTAGATGGTTATAATCGTCAGGGTTTGGAAAGAGCCCTGGATTAACTAACAGTGATTTCGTTTTAGCATAAAATGTGGTAAACACATGTGCGCTGTCTGGAATCTTCACGTCATTCTGGTGAAACACTGTACTCGTTTCTAGAAGCACAACATTGTAAGTAATGGCTTTATAAGTGTCTGTTGTAGCTTCATGGTACAACCGAACGACGTAGCCTTTTGTAACAAAGTGAAGCAGTGCTGGAGTGATCACTGTAAAGCTTCCTATGATGCCATAAAATAATATCTGCAAAGGCACACTTCCAAATATAATACTGTTTTGTGCAAAAATGTATGGTAGTAATGCAAGGCTGATGACACTTGTAGAATAAGAGAAACATTTCACACCTAAACAAGAAAAAAAAAAAGGGACAGTATTAATATTTATAGATTTTATAAAAGCATCAATCTATCCAATTAATTCTTCCACCTTTCTTCTTCTACCATCATCAAAACAATAAAATCAAAACACATATATAGTGATTATTTTCCAAGATCTGTTTTAAGTACTTTACATACTTATATATTTTATTCATGACATCTTCAAAAAAGCACTATGCAACAGATGCATGACTATCATCCTCATTCCCATGTAAGACATGAGAAAAACAAAGCACTTGCTCAATGTCACAAAGCTACCTACAGGCAGGCAGTACTGCGGTTCAAAGCCAGGCAATTTGACTCCACTGTCCCGGCCACTGGCCAATACACTGCTCTGCCTCTCCATGTAGGAAATCTGCTTTAGGGTTAACTGGCCTCCACCTCAGTTCCCCAATAAAAGACTTAACATTACTCAAAGATCCTTATGCATATTATAAATGTTAATTCAGTTAGCAGATTATTAAATAAAACTCTCTATTAACAAGCACTTCCACAGGCTTAACATTAAATGTTTAAATATGAGACTAACATTAACAGACTAAGTGCCCAGGATTAAAACAGCAAGTTACCAAAAAACACACCAGTGGTTAAGAAATACGTGGGAAATATATTCAACTTCTTTTACCAAGAAAAGACATTCAAGTTAAAACAGTGAGTTTTTTTTACCTGTCATATTAAAAAGATTAAAAATCAATGACTTCTCAAATGCATATTTAAAAATGGTTCAAATGGTAAATTTTATGTTATGCATATTTTACCACAATAAATGACTTAAAATGTAAATTTCCTTAGTTTGATTGTATAATTTTAACATGATCCCAACAAAAACACCATCTGTTCAGAAAACAGACAAGTTGAGATCCTAGACAAGTTGATTACAAAGTTAATTTGGAAAAACAAAAGAAGAAAAAAAAGGTGGGGAGAGGAATTAGATACTAAAACATAAGACTATAATTAAAATGGTGTGGTGCTGGTGCACAAATAAACAGATCAATGGAACAAAATGGGAAATCTAGAAATAAACTTAAGTGCATATGAAAATTTAGTATAAAGATATAATCTCAGGGCATCTGGGTGGCTCAGTGGGTTCAGTGTCCGACTCTCGATTTTGGCTCAGGTCACGATCTCAGGGTTGTGAAATTGTGCCCCACACAGGGCTCCGTGCTCAGCGCGGAGTCCACCTATCCCTCTCCTTCTGCTCCTCCACACACACTCTCACTATTAAATAAATAAAATCTTAAAAAAAAAAAAATCTCAAATATGTGGGCAAAAGTGGTGTTGGGACAACTGAATAGCCATATAGAAAAAAATAAAATTCAATCCATCCCTCATATCATCTACCAGGAAAATTCCAAATCCCGAGATTTAAATGTAAAAAATAAAATCATAGAGCTATAAGAAAACATGCATGAAGTCCTTTATAATCTGAGAATGGGAAAACTTTTCTAATTATGACTGAAAACACAGAAGCAATCAAGGGGAAAGACAGGTAAATCTGATTACATTATAAATGTACATGGACATAAACAAAGTAGAGACAAATGAGAAAAATATCTGCAACCTCTATCACAGAGCGTTAATATCCCCAACATATAAAAGGTTTCTAGTATGTGAGAAGAAAAAGATCAACAACCCTATCCACACACATGCAAGAAATATAAGCAGACAGCTCACTGAACCAAAAATGCACATGGTCCTTAAACAGATGAAATGTTAATAAACCTCAATCATAAGAACATGAAATTAAAAGCACAGTGAGATGCCAAAAACTAAAAGTTTGACAACATACTCTGTTGGTAAGACTGTAACACACTCTCATGCATTGCAATTGGTTGAAGGCTTAATTATCTTGCATCAGTAATTTAAAAATAATTCCTTCCTTCCTCCCACAGGTAGTTGCTATGACACTGGTACACATACAATACAACATAGATACAATGGGGACCAAGATGCCTCCTATATATAAGCCTCCTCAGTCCTTCCAACTACCTCTTTTTTCCCCATGACTCTGTTACACTATGGTGGGTTGGAAAGTGTACCCCAAAATTCATGTCCACCCAGAACCTCCAAATATGATGTCATTTGGAAGTAGGGTCCTTGCAGATAATAAAAAATTGAGATGAGATCATCCTGGAATAGGTTGGGCCATAAATCCAATGACAATATCCTTATAAGGACATAACAGGACAGAGACACAGAGAGGGCCATCTGAATTAGGAAGCAAAAATTGGAGTTATGCAGTTATGCATCCATAAGCCAAGGAGCACAAAGGATTGCTGAAAGCCTCCAGAAGCTCGAAGAGGCAAGGAATTCTTCCCTAGAGCCTTCAGAGAGAACATGGCCTTTATCAACATCCTGATTTCAGAATTCTAGCTTTCAGAACTGTGAGAACAAATTTCTGTTGCTTTAAGTCACCAACTTTGTGGAAATGTATTACAAAAGCCTGAGGAAACTAATACATACATATACTTTATTTTCCCTGGATTGAAATAATTACTATTTTTTAAACATATTCTGGGCTTTCCCATCTTCATGTCTTTGCTCATACTGCTTCCATGCCTGAGATGCCCTTCTTTCACACCTCTTCATGTTCAAATTCTACTCATCCTACAATAAGACTACTATGACATCAGTAATTATTTATTGATGAATTAACAAGAACTATCAACTAAACGACCCTTCAAATGTCTTTAAACGAAGCCCCATTCGGTAGTTTAAAGAATCTCCAAGAATGGTACCTCTATCCTAATGCCTCTCACTCAGTTTTACATAGAAAAAATGTTTCTCCCTCAGTTTCTACATAGAAAAAATAGTAATCCCTGAATAAGATACAGAGTATTGAAAGAATTCAAACATTAAACTCCTATACAAGTTATATTTCTAGAACTTTGAATACCATGAACAGCTATGCTCTTCTACAAACATAACATCCTACCCACACCAAAATTAATTCCTATTTATATTCTCTTCTTTACAGAATGGAATCAAATGCAAATAAGAAATAAAGTAATAAGCCTTCCCTGCATCTGAAGGAACCGTGTCTGTTCAGAAGGAAAGGTATCATGGGTGTCACTGTTAACACCTCCCAGTACTATAAATCCAGGTATCCGAGGCCAGAGATGGGACATAAGCTCAATGGCCTACTCACGTACTGACTTCTGAAGAAATTTCTAATCACCCAAGATGGACTTTTCCAGTAACTTCAGAACTCCTCTCAATAGTGACTATAATAACTCCTTACTGCCAAAGTTTTAAATACCTAAAATTATATTCTATTTTGATGCCACACATTTGAGAACATACGGATTTCCAGAGTAAATTTTAGATGATCAGTGACACCAGCATAACCAAAAACAGGAATGCAAATGCAGGTGCTGAAATCTTGTGGCCGATTTGACTATAAAGTAATCCTTCAGATATTTCAGGTTATACTTTAAGATTACTGAAATGAAATACAATCTCAGGAACTTGAACAAAACACATATCGAAGTTCTTCTGACCTCCATAATAAATCATTCCATACTAAATACCAAATTAAGAACTAAGGAAAGAGCTTCAGATTTGTAGCTATTTAATATACTGTCTTGGGCGCCTGGGTGGCTCAATCAGTTAAGCCTTCCACTCAGCTCATGATTCCGGGGCCCTGGGATCAGGCCCAGTATCAGCATCATTGGGTTCGCTGCTCAGCAGGGGGTCTACTTCTCTCCCTCCCTCTGTACTCTCTCTCTCTCTCAAGCAAATAAGTGAAATCTTTAATAATAATAATAAACAGTCCTTGTCTTCTCTAGTACTCTACACCACCTTGAAAAGCCACTAAATAAAGATGTTTCTTGAAAATGCTAAGGTGACCTCAAAAAATGTAAAAGAAATATATTTTTTAATCATAAAAGTATTATATGCTTATTTTAACTGCCAAATTTAAAAATATGCAAAGTAAATGTGTACCCTCCCAAAAAAACTACTCTTAAAAGGTATACTTCCATATTTTTTCTCTCCATATTCAAATATTACACAAATATACACTGCTTGTTCTATTTTGCTGTTAAACATCTTGAGAAGTGACCAAAGGATGGAAGCTTTAGCACCCAGCAATAAGATCACAAAGTCCTAACAGTCTGAAAAAATCTTTTGAGGGGGTGCCTGGGTGGCTCAGTCGTTAAGTATCTGCCTTCAGCCCAGGTCATGATCCCAGGGTCCTGGGATCAAGCCCCGCATCAGGCTCCCTGTTCCGCAGGAAGCCTGCTTCTCCCTCTCCCACACCCCCTGCTTGTGTTCCTGCTCTCGCTATCTCTCTGTCAAATAAATAAGTCAAGTCTTAAAAAAAAAAAAAAAATCTTTTGAAAATCTCCTAAAAATGCAAAGGTCCCAACCTCTAAATCTTTTTTTTTTTAAGATTTTATTTATTTATTTGACAGAAAGAGAGATAACAAGAGCAGGAACACAAGCAGGGGGAGTGGGAGAGGGAGAAGCAGGCTTCCCGCAGTGCAAGGAGCCCGATGCGGGGCTCGATCCCAAGACCCTGGGATCATGACCTGAGCTGAAGGCAGACCCTTAACGACTGAGCCACCCAGGCACCCCTCAACCTCTAAATCTTGATTCAACAGGCCACAAGAAAAAAATATATAACCTAATTTCTCCTCATATCTTGCAATTAAGAGATGTTAAAATAAGAGATAACATATCCTGAGTACATTTTTTACAACTAAAAGGGGGGTTAAAAAGGAAATTACCCTCACTTCTGGTTACCCACCGAATACTGTTCTCGCCAGATTCCCAGTATAAATCAGCCTTCCATCTTCTGATTTTTCAAGCTGTGTATGTAAGCATTGAACGCATCTTTCCCAACAAAGAGGTATCTATTGAAACAGAGACCATTATAATGTGAGTACATAATAAAGTGCATTTTAGACCAACTTTTAATTTTTTTAACTTTTTTAAATTATAATAGAGTAAAAGAAAACTTGTCACATGAGGTGATTTAAGGAATTCTCCCAAATAATCCACAGAGCTGAAGAAATCAAACTAACAAGATAGCTGTCCTTAACTCCAGTCACAAAGTGTTTTTTTGAAAACCTAGGTTTGCATCCCAGCTCAAAGCTTTTTAGATAAAGTGTGGCCTTGAACAAATAAAAAAAAATTAGTGGAATAATTCATTCTGTGGTTAATGAAAACATCACTCTTGTTCCATTGTCAAAATTTTAAATGCATTAGCTTTTCAAAAAATTGATGTTAATATAATGTAAGTAAAACACTGCAAATGTAAACTGTTTCAAGTCCAGACCGTTTTTAAGATTTCTAAAATGTTTATACTATAGCTAGTATTAAAAAGAGAGAGGGGCGCATGGGGGGCTCAGTCGTTAAGCGTCTGCCTTCGGCTAGGGTCATGATCTCGGGGTCCTGGGATCGAGCCCCGCATCGAGCCCCCCATCGGGCTCCAGGGAGCCCGCTTCTCCCTCTCCCACGCCCCCTGCTTGTGTTCCCTCTCTCGTTGTGTCTCTGTCAAATAAATAAATCTTAAAAAAAAAAGGGAGAGAGAGAGAGAAACTCTTTCCCTATTCATCTCGTTGCATCCCTTAGTTCCTCTTAAGAAAGTATTTCACTTGAAATCTTCATCAAATTTCACAGGAACAAGGGGTCCCCGAACGTCTAAACCCTTCAAAATGCAAAAGGTATGCCTAATCCCTTCATACTGCAATTTAATTAGATTCCAATTCCCATGTTAGGCATTTCTTCCAATTTACAACCATGTTTGCTAATTCTGATGTTTTACAGAGCAGGATTAGGAGACAATTTATTCAGATTAAAAGGAGAGGATTAACGTCCCCATCCCCTTTTCCAGGGAGCAAAAGAATTCCTTAAAATAGCCTCATCTAATAGAAAATAGAACAAACTTAAAGTCAGGTTGAGTTCTTTCAGTTCGGTCACCAGGTGGTGTATCTAATTTCGTTGCAAATCAACCCTTCCGAGCTTCCACTCAGAGGTAGAAGAGAAAATAGAGTCATCACAAACCCGCTGGGTTTGCAGCCAGCTGTGAAGTACTTGGAACCGCCCAGAAGATGACCACTTTCGAACGGAAATTCCTAGACTCGTGGGTGCTGTAAACCCCGGGACGCCGGGCCTGCTCCCGAGGCCAAAGCAGGCTGCCTCTGCGCGCTCCGCAGGGGGCTCCTTCCGCACCAGAGTCCCCAGGCCCGACGCTCCCTCCACCGCCCACCCTCACTCGGTCCGCAGGCCTTCAGAATGCCGACCTGCGTTCGCACCCGACGCCCGCGAAGCGGCGAGGCTCCCCGCAGCCCCACGCTTCCGCAGCCAACCAGCCCCGAGGAGCCGCTACCGGAGGCCACTCGCGAGGCGGCCGCCCTAAGGCCTCGAAGCGCGGCGGCCGCCCACGGCACCGTCCTCTTCCCGCCGAGCCGAAGTTCGGCCGCCCACGAGCTGCCCAGCGCCAGCAGCAGCATCCCGCGCGTGAGAAGCGGCGGCAGACGGCGCTACGGCGACAGCGGGGAAGCCTGAGGCCCAGCTCCCCACCCGGCCGCAGCTGGAACCTGCCGTTCATGCCCCGCCCCTAGCCGCACGCGCGTGCGCAGAATACGTAGCCTGCTTGCAACTTTCCGTGCCACGCGCGTTCCCTGCGGACAGAGCTCTGAACACCGCACGCCCGCCTCTAGTTGCAGGGACACGCAGACGCCCAGCCTGCGCGCGGCTTCCCTTTCCCGGACTTGAGCGCTCTTTGTGAGACTGTGGAAGGACAGAGAAGAGAGCCATGCGCGAAAGACAAAGCCTGGAAGCCAGGGTTAAATCTTTGATTCTCGTGGGCGTCATTTTCTAGGCCCCCAAATATATTTTCTTTCCGGAAAATGATTCTAGCCTGTTAGCACAGAGTAATATTTTATGCGACTTGGACAAAAATGAGTGGTAATTTAATCCAACCATTGGATTGGTAGAAAATAAATGGAGCTTGCTCATGTGATGCTGATACTTGACAGATTTGTCTTCTGGAATCCTTCTCAACCATATACGTTGGTTCATTACTTGTTAAAGAGGTACTGAGTGCCTATTGCCAAGACTAAGGAGCACAGGATATAAAGATACTGCATAAAATTGGGACTCCACTGTACTAACACAGTGGAGGAAACACCTAAAAATAAAATATAATGCTGCAATATCATTAGAATATACCAATTTACAAAATTTTTCAGAAGCCCAGAAAACAGCATGATTATTTTGGCCTCAAAACGTCTAAAAGCTTCAGGTTACCTGAGTCTTAAAGGATGAGCATCCAATTAGTTGACACTCCTCTGTTTACTATTTCAGAAGAATGTTTTTGACTCCAGACACTTTTGGCACAGGAGAGGATCAAACTAAAAGTCTAAAATAGTATCACCTTGACAACTCCAAATCCTGTCTACTTTTTTTCTGGGTATCCAAAGGGATAAAATTATACTGCTTCTTTATGAATGATTTCATTTTCTTAAACTTATCTTCCACTTACATTTTTTTTTAAAGATTTTATTTATTTATTTGACAGAGACAGACACAGGGAGAGAGGGAACACAAGGGAGTGGGAGAGGGAGAAGCAAGCTCTCTGCTGAGCAGAGAGCCTGATCTGGGGCTCAACCCCAGCACTCTGGGATCATGACCTGAGCTGAAGGCAGACGCTTAATGAGCAAACACCAGGGACCATCCAGGCACCCCTCCACTTACATTTTAAAAACTCTTCTGTTTAGTGTGATACTACAAACATCAATTATCCATCTTACTGATATGTTTAAAATATTCTGTTAATACAGTATTTTCATACTGTTACAAAGATAAATTGAGACATTAAAATTTTTTGGTTCATTTGAGCAAAAAATTATTGGAATTGGACAGCACCAAACCTGAAGTGATTAAGAGTCCTCCACTGAGAGGAGCCAAGGGCAAGGTTTCTACAGAGACGATGAAGAAGCAAAGCAAGGAAATTATTTGGCTATAGTTTAAGCAGTTGCATTATTTGGGAAAATCTACTTGGCCGTTTGTGATTGGTTGTTCTTAGACATTTACAGGAATTGACTCTGGCTTAGGTTTTGGTTTGCTTCCATAGGCTACCAAGGTATTAGAGCCATCTCAGTCTAATGGCTTCCTTGATTGATTTCTTCAATAATATACTGAGAGAATGTGAATTTTAACTTCTGTTAAGCTTAGTTTTTTCCAACAGATTCTGTAAACAAATGAAAATAATATTTGGTTTACTTCTCAGTGTTTCTAAACAGCTAAAATGAGATCATATTCTGAAAATTTTGTGCTATAGAATTACACAGAATTGTTATTTATGCTTAAATAGATTTCCCAATTCTAGTAATACAGACATTTGTTGAAAATAAACTACTTGAGTGGGATTTTAGAATGATACTGACTGGGGCACCTGGATGGCTTAGTCTAACTATCCGATTCTTGATTTTGGCTCTGGTCATGATCTCAGGGTCATAAGATTGAGCCCCACATCCAGTTCTGTGTGTTGGGTGTGGAGCCTGCTTAAGAGTCTTTCTCTTTTTCCGCCCATCCCCCACCCTCTATCTCTCTTTAAAAAAAATTAAAAAATGAAAGCAAGGTAAATGGGTAAATGTCTAATCTTAAGGAAATACTTAAGTGAATCACAGTACATTTATATGATGTAATTCTATACAGACATTAAAAATGATGCTTGTTGAGATTTTGGTTACAGGTAAGTTAAATTGGAAAGTTAATAGTATACAAAACCATATGCACACAATATGATGATATAAAAGTGCATGGAGAAAACAAACATCTGCAATCTGTATTTTTTGTAATAGGCATATATTATATTGACTACCTAAATAAAATTTTAAAATACAGTAAAATTTTGCACAAAAGAAAAAAGACAGTCCTAGACTACATCCTAGCCCTAAATCTGGCATTAGCTAGCCTCAGTATTCTCACGTGGAAAATTCTATCATTCTCTAGGCAACTAATATAGCGATCCTTTAGAGGCTGATGATGGAATGAGGAAAAGAGGAAGAGAAGGGAAGAAAACAACACTTTTGAAGTATAGGGGGAAAAATATGATTGAAAATGGGCCCACGCCTCCGCTCCTCACCCCATTCTCTCCCTGCCAAACTCTATTCTGAGCTACCGTTAAAACCAAAAACTTAAAAAAAAAATTTTTTTTGCAAAGGCTTTGAAAAGTTAACCCAGAAAAATCTGTCCGTTAAAAGCAATGACTTTTAGCTGCCAAATCAACAAAACATGTCTTTCAAGCAAAAGTCATTAATTAGGTCAACAAATTTTGTTTCGCCTGTATCTATTTTCCCTTTGCTGGACATTGTTAACACAACAGCGCCTAGTTGAGCAACTTGAAATGGTGTCTTGGCCCTACATTCCCTTCTTGCCACGGTCCGGTAAACAGAGTGCAAACTTTATTTAGCTGTTTCAGCTTTTCTGGAAGGGTGCCTGAGTTTAACCACAGCAAAGCAAGCAAAAAGGATAGGCCGATCGACGAGCGAGAGAGGGGCAAAGAGAGCGAGAGAGAGTGCTGGGGCAGAGGGCGTGGAATGTCAAAGATGGTCTCAGAATTCAGTATCCGCGGCAAACGACTGGAAGTTCAGTGAATGATCTCAGAATCAAGGAGAGCTGAGCAACCCGGGGCTGGGAAGGGTTGGTAGGGCGGGAGAAAGGCCCCAACCCTGGGGCGGGGGGGGGGGGGGGGGGCGTGGTTAGTTTTCAGTAATCGGTGTCGAGAAGGGAGGAAATGAGGCCAGCCGATTGCGCTAGCGGTTATGATGCTCTTGCAACTTTTCACGAAAAGACAGATGGTGTTTCTTAAAGAGCACGATCTTGTTAGCATAGAAACCGCACTCCCACTTTTCAGTCTTTCCTATGCAGATAATCTCCGACCCCCAAGAGTACCCCTGGACAATCTCCAAAATTACCAAAAATCTTAACATTCAACGTGAGAAACTACAAGTCCCAGGGTGTAGTGCTGCCGTGGAGAAACAGTAGCCGCCAGAGAAACTACAAATCCCAGGATGCAGTGCTGCCTCGGAACCCCGAGCACCTCTTTGAGAATGACGTCCCTGCGGAAATCGGATCAGGGTCGGCGCTGCATGCTGGGAATCAGAATACCCAGAATTGGATTGGTTGGGATTTGGAACTGACCGCGGCCCCCCGAGGTTGGCCAGTGGTACTGTAGGAGAAGGGAGGGGGGCGCTGCGCACTTCCTGTAGACGGAAGCGGACGATTGACTGCGTCCCCGCCTCACCAGGTACTAATCTCCCGCGCGTTGTAGAAAGCGTCCGTGACCCGGCGGAAGTGATTCCTCTAACTGCCCCGGAACCCACCGCGGCAGGCAGCTGGGGGTGGGGGGGCGGCCCTGGAGTAGGGGCTGTGGCGGTGCGCGGGGACCCGGTGCGGTGGCTGCTGTGGCTGCAGGGCTGACGAGTGAGTCTCGGGCTGGGTGGGAACGGAGCTGCGGATCCGCGTGGAGGACGAGGAAGGCTCGTGCTGGGCGCGCACGCAATCCCACTTCCCACCCCTTCCCATTTGGGCGGGGAAGGAACGGAAGCTCTTAACCTCGCCGGGCCTCCTGAGCTCCTGGTTTGGGGGAGGGGAGAAGAGGGCGGCAGGACCTTTCTAGGCGCCGCTTGGTGGCCTCGGAAGAGGGTGAAAGGAGGGGCGGCGGCTAGCGAGTCTGGGCCTTCCCCGGGCTGAGCGCGGGGAGGGTGGAGTTAGGAGCATGGCAGCCCTGTCGCGTTTCCTTTCTGCTTACCCCGTGTGCACTCAGATACGTCCTTTTCTTGGAGTCGGTCCCCAGTCAGAGGAGTGACTCTCACAGTCACAGTCCTCCTCTTTTTCCAGCTGCAGGACCCCGAGAAGTTTACCTTCTGGGCAACTTGTCGGACGATCTCTGCCCGACTTGATAGTTTGGGACTGTCGTGCATCTGCCTTCCAGTTTTGTCTGAAAGGTATCTAGTACAGTGGCCGTTGAGTTTATCTTATGGAACTAAAATCTCTTTCGTAACATGTAGTTGTAAAGTTCATGTCGTTAGTACGGGCATTTCTACTTAGCATTTTACTTTTTCATGTTTGTGTAGAAAACAATCGAAATCCTTTAGTTTGAGTTTTTAAAATCCTTTTTTTCAAACTGCTAAACTTGCTTTTTGATCCCCAAATGGTTGTTTCCTTTTCCGTTTAGTAGACTAAGATGATAAATCTCTGATCTCGCTTACATTATATTTGTAATTCATGATGTTGAAACATCACAGTTCACACACATGGATTCGTTCATTCTAGAGATACTATGGTAAGGAAACAGCTATGGTCCCTGTCATCTTGGATATTTATTTATTGCCAGTGGTGATTTGGGGTTTATGTTTAATTTTTAAATGACTGTTATTTTTTCCCTAAGTATGAGATTTAACTAGTAACTACCATTTCAAAAAATATATATACCTTATATATATATGTTTATTTCAACTTGTAGATGCCAGTTTCATTACTTTTATAGTAATTCTGTAATGTAGTAAGGCAATAGTAGTCAGAAGTTATGGTCAGCCCTATATATCAAGTTCTAAAGTAACATTTGTGTGTACCTTATAAAGTGCTTTTTTGGTGTGTGTTTTTTTTTTTTTTAATATAGATTTTTCAGTACTATAAAATAATCTGGAAACTCTTTGCATTTATACTGGTAAGTGTACATGCATTTTAGCTAACTTGTTATAAATGTTTACTGTTCCATTATTAAATAAGATCAGGAAAAGCCCATCGAGTGATGCCTGAAATTTCAAGCCTTCGTGACTAAGAAAACAATAGTACCATTCACTCAAGAAATATTTATTGAGCATCTGCTGTATGCCAGCTACTATACCAGGCCTGCCCTCATGGACCTTGGGGAAAGAGAGGAGATGCAATAAGTATATATAAGTATATACATATATACGTATATGTATATAAGCAATTATAGTTTCAAGTGGTGATAAATGTGAAGAAATTATGTCAAGATTATAGAGTTATGTCAAGAGTCCAATTAGGTGACTAGGGTAGGGGTGTCTTAATTTTGATAGGGAAGTGAGCAAGGAAGACCTATGTCTCTGAGGAGTTGATGTTTTGCCTGGAGACCTAAATAATAGGGAAAAGCTTTTAAGGTATCAGTAATGCAAATGTAAAGACCTTAAGAGAGGAATGAACTGAACCTATTATGATACTAAAATGGCCAACGTACAGTATAGCTGGGGCACAGTGAAGGAAGAATGATGGGAAATAAAATCAGAGTAGTTAGCAAAGTCTACATGAGATACAACTTTATAGTACTTTTTCTGTTTGTAATGAGAGGCCATTAAAGGATTTTGTGCAGGGGAATGATACCTGATTTCTGTTTTTGATGACTGGTTGCTGGGTGGCAAATAGAGCAGTTGGAGGAAAGTGAGGAAACTAGTTCCTAAGGAGGCTGTAGTAGTCTAATTGAGAAATGGTAGCTTGAACTAGAGATGTAGGGTGGAAGTTTGTGAGGAATAGTATGATTTGGAATATAATTTGAAGATGGAGTCAGGTAGGCCTTGCCTTCACCCCTAGGACAGAAAAAAATTTGAGGAATCAACTGTTTTGCCTGTTTTGAGCATCTGGGTGAACAGTAGTACCACTTACTGAAATAATGAAGACAGGAGGGTACACTGGTTTCTGAGAAATCAGGAGTTTGATAATTATTATACAGCTCAGAATGTGTGCAAGTAGGCAAGTTGGATATCCACAACTATTGCCAGGGGCAGAGTCAAGCTAGGAAGATTATCTAGGGGTCATATATTTTTTTTATTATTATTTTATTTTTTTAAGATTTTATTTATTTGAGAGAGAGAGAGAGCACAAGCAGGGGGAGAGGCAGAGGGAGAGGGAGAAGTAGACTCCCCACTGAGCAGGGAGCCCGACATGGGACTCAATCCCAAGACATGGAGATCATGACCTGAGCTCAAGGCAGATGCTTAACCATCTGAGACACCCAGGTGCCCCTGGGGGTCATTTTTAATAGGTATTATGTAAACCTGTGGACTGGAGGACATCAAGTGGAGAGTATTAATGGAGAAGAGGACAGATGACCGGGAGCACTCTGGTCGAAAGAGGAGCAGCAAACAGTGATGGAAGCAGAAAAGCCAGGAGCGTGTGGCATCTGTAATACTAAGGGAAGAAACTGTTTTGGGAAGGCAGGAGTAGTCAACTGTAAGACCCTGCTAAGAGTTAGATGAGGATTAAAAATTCGCCATGTAAGCAAGTAAAGTAATGGAAATATGGTGAGCCCCTTGAAGGGACTAGTGGGCCAGAAGTCTGATCAGAGTGGGTTAAGAAGAAGTGAATGGTAGTGATGATGTTACAGCATTTTGATGTGCTGATGGGAATAATAGCAGGACAAAGTCCTTGGAGAGGTGTGCTTAGTTTAAGTGGAAAGGTTGGCCTTGGATAGGAAGGATGGTTTTTATTCAACTTTTGAAACAGGAGGGTGGACAGAGTATATGGTATGTAGATACAGGTAGGATGAAGATGGAAAACAAGGCAATTGATGTGATGTCTTTCTATTTTCTTGATAAAATAAGTAAAGTTGTCAGGGCAAGAGGAGGAGAAGGTGTTGGAGGCTTAGGAGAAGGTAGGATTTTTTTCAGAGTAGAAAAGCTAGTTTACTAGGAGGATTTCTACAATGCCAAGTGCCTATTTAAAGTGTGTGGTCACAAATTTAAAGTTGAGATCAGTCAAAATGGTATGTCTTTTCTCCAGCCACATTCATCTCTCTGGTTGAGGCTTGAGCTCACCAGAGAATTGGGTTTGCCCAGGATTGGGATGTGGGTGGGTAGATCAATCAGAGGAGAGAGCAAGGAGTTAGGGTATAAGGACTGTGAGATGTGCATGGTGCTAATCCTGATGAACTCTTAACAGTGGAATGAAGGAAGGTCAGAACTTGTTTTATATTTGTTTTTTATGTTTATTTGTAGCCTATCATTCTAAGCATTCTTTTAAATTATTTTGTAATATGTAGAATCTATAATTAGATACTATATAATGGGAGTATTTGTTCAAACTTTTTTAAACCAAAACAAAGGCATTTGGAGATCACTGTCTAAAAGAGAGGTTAGGTAGTTTACAGGGGTGAGGCAGACAGACTCCGTGGAAGCACGTAGCACTCTGGAGCCCTGTGTTGTATGAGAGCATCAACTCTGTTTAATAAAGATGGGAAATTGGGAATTATAGGCATTTGTAGAGGGAGGGAGAATTTCAGATGGGTACGATCATGAAATGGTGGCCCTGGAAGGGACTTTTAGACACAATTTAGTCCATTGTATTTGAGAGATAAACAGGAGTCTTTAACCTATCAGGATCTCAAGATAGAAATTTGGAGAGTAGAAATTCAGATGTCGCTTGCAATGACACTGTTACCTTGTGTACACTCCTTCCCCACCCCTCTCCTGATTTGGCTCATACTGTTTCTTTTGCCTGGATCTCCCTCTCCTTCCAGTTCTGCTTGGTAAAAACACCTCCATCCGTAGACCCAGATCAAAAGCTACTTTCCTTTTGTGGCTGTTCACTTAACAGATTCATAGTTCCAGATTTACTTCTTTAGGACTCCCAAAATCCTACTCCCCATCTATTAGCATCTGCAAACCTAGAGAATTTGGATTAGTTTTATTATCAGCATAAGTATCTTTTGAAAGGTTAATGAGACAGAAAACCATTTTGGATTGGTAACGTCTGTACAATGAAAGATACTTAAATTTAAGAAAAATAATAAATTTTTTTAAAAAACTTTCCCTAACTTTATTTTTTAATTGAGATATAATTAACATATCATGGAATGCTCAGTGTACCATTTAATTTTCCAGAAAGTTGCCTCATGCTTCTTCGTAATCATTCCTCCAGAAGCAGCCGCTGATCTATCACCATAAGTTCATTTTGCCTGTTCTAGAATTTCATATAAATTGAATAATACAGTATGTACTTTTTTGTTTTCCCATTCAGTATAATATTTTTGGTATTCACCTATGTCTTGTGTATTAGTAGATCATTCCTTTTTGTTGTAAATGGTATTCCTCTGTACACATATATCACAGCTTGTGTGTCATCAGGGTAACTTCGCATTTATTTTGAGTGAACTTCTGTGAACATTTTTTTTTAATCTTTTTTTTTTTAAGATTTTATTTATTTGAGAGAGAGAGCATGAGAGAGGGGAGGGTCAAAGGGAGAAGCAGACTCCCCGTTGAGCAGGGAAGCCTGCCGCGGGACTTGATCCTGTAACTCCAGGATCATGACCTGAGCTGAAGGCAGTCGCTTAACCAACTGAGCCACCCAGACGCCCCGTGAACATTTTTGTAAAAGGTTTTTTGTGGGCAAATTATTTCTTGGATAAATACTTAGGAATCCAGTGTAAGGATTTAGGAAAGTCTTGTTTATTTTTTTGCCACTTGTAAATTGGTATGAAACCAGCTATAACTTACCAAAACGTAAATAACCGAGAACATCATTCACCGTGATCTGGAGACCACTTAACATCACTGTAATGATTGTTGTGGTCTGCACCACCCTCTGTAATATTTCTGATTGATCATTTATGGCCAGTCTAAAATAGAGTTCTTAAAATACCAGAGAGATCTCTTCTAATCAAGATTCCTAAAGCCCCGGGTGCCTGGGTGGCTCAGTTGGTTAAGTGACTGCCTTCGGCTCAGGTCATGATCCTGGAGTCCCAGGATCGAGTCCCGCATCGGGCTCCCTGCTCAGCAGGGAGTCTGCTTCTCCCTCTGACCCTCCCCCCTCTCATGTGCTCTCTCTCTCTCTCATTCTCTCTCTCTCTCTCTCTCAAATAAATAAATAAAATCTTTTTTAAAAAAAAGATTCCTAAAGCCTCACAATTGATGACAGGCAGAGGGCTTGTTTCTAGAAACCAAGCCCTGCTGATGAAACATACTAATATAGTTGATTACTGAGTATTATTAGTTGAGTCATTATTCTAGTAGTAAAAACTTGGTCATTTAGGACAATTAGGCCATGGCTAATTGTTAACCATCAGAAATAGATGAGAAATTGAGGTCAATGCTTTTACTTTAAGTGACCTAATAGACTCCCTTAGTAAAAGCAAAGAACTGTCCTCTTTGACCTACTGTATACTGCCACTGAGAACAAAACTTGTTCTTCAACTCAGGGATGTTTGGGAACAAGTTTCAACCCTAGGAGATTTGAGGACATTATCAAACAAACATTTTCAGATAACTGAGTTAGTTCTAGGAAACATAAAATTCCAGAAATCATGTATAGGAATACATGCTTCATACACTTGCATTTATAATTAGCAGTTTATGGTAGTTGGTGCAAAGTTGTGAGACTGATGTTTTAATTATCATAATTTCATAAAATGTGGCTATGTCCTCGAAGTCTTTAAAATAAAAATTGTTTTAAGGATTAGAATTCATATTGACTAAACGTTAATGTGAAAGATGGAATACTATCTCCTTTAGTCACTCCCTCCCTTCAGTATAGCCCAGAATATTTCCATAAACTTAAATGTTCTTTCCTAGAAAGAACAGTTTTCATTGTGGTTGTCTGAAAGCTCTAAGTTTATTCGATGCCAACATCATGGGAAAACATGTCTTGGTCAAAAGCATGGTATCACTGAATAACTTTATTCTCTTAGAAAGCTCAGAATAGTACTATCTGTGT